AAATGAATCTCTGTGAAGGTGACTTTGGCAAGTCAAGCTACTTCTTCCTACCTTTTCCTTAATAATTGCCCCTCTGCCACATAAAAATGAACTCTCTTCCCACCCTTAAATTTACATGGTACATAAGGAAACAATTTTCCATGGGTTCCTCATGTTTCTGCAGGTCTTGAGAGCAAGGCACTAGGTGCCCTTAGTTCTAGACTACCTTGCAAGCATGGTTAGAATGCAGTGTCCCCTCTCTCTGGAGCAAAGAGCAGATATGTTTACTGTTGTGGGTTGAATCATGTCCTCCGCCATCAAAGATGTTGAAGTCTTCAACCCCAGGACTTCAAGATGTAACTTTATTTGGAAATAGGGTCATTGCAGATGTAGCTAATATGAGGTCATACTGGGGTGAGGTGGGCCTGGTGGCCTTATAAGAAGACAGCCATGCGAAGGCAGAGACACACAGAACACCCTGTGAGGACAAAGGCAGAGGCTGGAGTTATGCAGCTGTAAGTCAAGGAACACCAAAAGTTGCCAGCAAACCACCAGCAGCTGGAAAGGAGAGGAAAGGTTCCCCTGCAGCTCTCAGAGGGAAGGTGGCCCTGCCAACCCCTTGACTCGTCCTTCCAGCCAGCAGACAATGCATTTCTGTTCTAAGCTATCCAAATTGTGGTACTTTGTCATGGCCACCCTAGGAAACATACTGTCCAGAATAATGTCTCCCCCCAGCAAATGGAAATCATGCTTACTCACCATTATAAATATTTGAGTTTCCTAAGATTGTAATTCCTCTCCTGAAGTGCAACCTATTGCACAAGCAGGCGCCCGTCTGGATCCATCCACGGTGGCCCCGAGGGTGCTGGGGCTCAGGGAACTCAGGCAAACCGGTGGCATTTCAGCGTCAGTGCTGCGAGTGCCGTCCTGTGTCCTCTGATAACATGCAGTGTGACCCCGGAGCACGCCAACTTGTGAAACCTCAGACCCTTCACAGTTTTAACATAAGGTGTTACTCCAGAGTACCGATATAAAGAAAAATTTGACAATTTCTTTAATCAGGTCACCATAAACATTGCACCTGTTCATTTCATTGAAAGATGTATTTCAGATAAGATTTCTAATACATGTGCTATTTGGTCATTAAACTCTTAGAGCCTTATGGAATGGAAAGGACATATAGTATATATAGTGTAAATATTAGCTCTTCCCGAAAGCAGCCAGAGGTGACCTCTGAAAAAGGTTCGCTATTCACTTGACCCATAAAACCCCACAAAATTATGCAAATCAAGAGGTTCAGATCTTCATGTTCACTTAAGAACACTCATGAAACTGCCCAGGCCACCAACGGTATACATGTTTGAAAAACCACCAAGTATCTGACAGATGTCACTTTAAAGACGCAATGTGTCCCATTCCATCGATACAATGGTGGGAGTTGGTAGGTGTGCACAGGCCAAACTGTGGGGCTGGACGCAGAGCCAGTGGCCCAAAAAGAGTGCTGAGTTTTTGCTGCACATGATTAAAAATGCAGAGAGTAATGCTGAATTTAAGGGTTTAAATGCCGATTCTCTGGTCATTGAGCACAGCCAGGTGAATGAAGCTCCCAGGATGCAGTGCGGCACTCACAGAGCCCAGGGGCAGATTGCCTCACACAGCAGCCCTTCCTAACACGATGGGAGGCTCCTGCTGAACGAGAGCAGATTGTTCCTAAACTGGAAGAGGAGGCTGTGCAGAAGAAAACGATATCCCAGAAGAAACTGAAGAAACAAAAGCTTATGAATCAGGAGTAAATTCAGCATAAAAATAAATACTAATAAAAGTAAAAACATATATATGTATTATATATAATGCTGTGAAGTGTTTAATAGGGTGATCGATAAGACTTTTAAGCAAAAAAAAAATCATATTAGGACAAAATTCAATGGGAGAAGTGGACTAGATTTCAAGGAAAAAGAGGAGTGATAAAATATTTCCAATTGTTACAAAGCTTAAGATAATTTTAAATATGGAAAATGATGGCTATCAAGACTCTATTGTACCAAGATTTCACTGGATACATGGAAAAGAACTAACATTTGAATTTTAATGTCAATATTTATAATACATGATAAACTGTATAAAATGTATCTTTTGAAATGATTTAAATATAATGATGATTTCAGATTTTAAAAAGAGAACCCATCAAGGTATCATGATTTTTCCAAAACTAGAGAGGCGTGCAAGTAAAATAAACTTGAAGAGTACTCATTGCCTTTCTACTTACAGCTCTCAGAGCTCCCGGCCGGCCAGCCTGGAGCGCGCCTTGCTGCCAGCACCAACCCAGCAGACTCCGTGTTTCTTCCAGTTGACTTCCGTCACCCCTCTTAGCACCATCGATGCTTAGTCATTGTTACATGAATATTGAATAGGAGAAAGTGTCATTCTTCTGCTCTGTCTACTTCTGCTTTGGGGACCTCTCTAACCCTTGCCTAGCCTGGGGTGACTGGGGCTAAGATCAAAGGGTCAAGGGGTGCTGTGAACTGCCATTATCTCGTCAGACAAAAATTAAATAAGTCCACACCTAATCTAAAAGTTGGATCAACTAAGTTATTATAGATCTCAGATCAAATGAGCCATCGGATTTCCAGATTTAACTGGATTCTGGAATTTCTCTATAGTTTTTAAGATCAGCAAAAGCAGAGTTCACGCCCCTAGGGACAAAGTTAGCCGAAGTCTGAATGACCATCTTTCTCTGCTGGGTCAACGTCAAGTGCCATCTACATTTTCCTTCTATCGCCACTGCAAGTTGAAGCTATCCTCCATCAGAGTGCGGCCCAGAGCAGACACGGGACCCCATTTGCCTCTCCATTGTCAGCATTGATATCTCACATGTACCACATGGCTTTAAATTTGAAGTATCCCAGAAACAGACTTCTTTTAAGAAATCAAAACCAGATTGAAAAAAATACACAGACAAGTTGAAATACTTGCACTAAAGAAGCCTTATGGATTTACATGATCTAAAGAGAAGTCTCCAAAAGCAGAAACCTAGTTCTTCTGATTCATTTTCTCTGGAGAAGCAGCTTAAAATTACCCAGGCAAACGGCCATGGAGTACTTGCGTTGGTAACAGAAAATGATGGGAAAACAGAGAGGGAACTGCTAGACTCGACCTACAGGGCTTCCTCCGGGAGTCATGTGCCGCATTTTTTCTTTCTCAGGTGGGAAGAAAAATCTATTTTGTTAAACATTTACTTGAAGGGAAAATAAAATCAGAAGTTAATGTAATGCTTTACACAGACGAATGATAGCAAATAGACCAAGAATGATCTTTTACTTAATATTAAAACTTCTAGTAGAAAATACATTTGCAAAGACTTTAGTTCTGAGCAGGTTTCTTGCCCAATGACCTACCCACACACACGGCGCAGGTTGGCTGTAGTTGGCTAAATGACTCGGGGCTCGTGACGTGGAGGAGCTCATTTGTGGTCACCCCATTTGTGTTAATACTGAACTTTTCCCCACAGTGTACTCCTCCGTGGCTGCTTGGGAAAGACTGGCTACTTGTAAAATCATCAAAAGAAATACTTTCTGATGCTACTTTCCAAAACTGGGTCAGAGACCACTGGGGTATGTCCTGGCTCCCTGAGGCACCAGAAAGAAGGGACGGAAGTGAAATTGCTGAGGGAGATATCAGAAACTAAGGTGGGGGGAGGGAGAAGAGGGGTGAGGGGAGAAAAGGAGGGAAAGGGGGAAGAAAAAATCATCAATAGTAATCAAGAGAGAAAATTAACCATGAAGAATAAGGGCAGGCCATATTTACATAAAAGTGTCTTGTGGCAAGGGGGAAAATGGCTGCTTTATCACAAATTTAGTGTAAAATCTTAAGAGGCAGAAATCCTCACAAATTCATAAACATTAAAAAATAACTCCCTGGTATCTCTGGAAGGTGTAAGGGAAGTAACTCACTATTTTAAAAACTGGCATAAGAACCGAGCATTCATCCAGCCACTCCTGTACAAACTGCTCTTCAAGGTAAAGGAACAGAGGGGAAGTCTCTCCATTTCACCATTTTGATCTAGGTAATGCCAACTATTAGCTGCCTCCTCATGAAATGCACAACACTACAACACAAAACTACACTAAACGAAAGCTGATCAGACGTCTTGATCTAACTCCAAATATAAAGAGGGAAAAAAGGGTAGACATGCATGCTAAATGATGTTTTGAAGATACCATCAGCAAAATTTTGACTGTGGAAAAAAAAAAACTATAGGAGACATAAACTACTTAAATCAAAAGGCGGATATTATTCAATTGGAGAGCACAGAGTTGGTTACTGCTCTTTTTAATCAGTCTTCTCTCTTTAGTTCTTACTATAGACACTTTGAAAATAAAGACACAAACAGATGAGGAGAGGGTAGAAAAAGACACACCATGCAAACATACCATGCAAGCAATGAGCACAAGCAAGCTGGAAGGATGATAAAAAATGGGCGTCAAGGCAAGGAGTAGTAGTGGAAATAAAGCAGGAAACTTTGTAATGATAAATGGTTAGTACATGCGGAAGACAGAAAAATTATAAATGTATATTGGACTAATAAAAGAGCTTCAAAATACAAAATGCAAAAAGTTGACAGAAATAAAAGTCCACAACCACAGCTGGAGACTTTAACACACCTCCCTCAGTGTGATTCATAGATCACACACACACACACAAATATCAGTTTGAATATAGAACTGAAATGATGCTATCAACCAACCATAAAACCTTGGGAACAAAGAATCACAAAGATTCTAAATTAAGAAGAGTAGGTGGGTTGGTTAAGCATTTATCTGCCTCCTCTTCTAAACTAGTTCTTTAAGTACTGTTCAAACTTAATGACTAAGCACAGGTTTGCCACAGACCTGAAGAGAAAGATGAGAACAGGAGAGGCGTGGACTTTAAGGAAAGAGTGGTCCACCTTTTATTTATACAGCTTTCAAACCCAAGTATGTTTCCAGAGCCTTTTTTACATGTATGATCTCGACCCATTCTTACATACATTCTTGGAAAAAGAGCCCACACTTCCTTACCCCCATGTTACAGATAGGGAAGTCTAGTTCAGAGGCCGACTTGCAAAGAAAGAAAACTGCGATTTTGCTGCTAGATCAAAGGGTAGACATAGGATTTTAAAGGTCACCTGAGTGAATCTAATGGGAGCGCAGTGAAGTGCCAGCTATCTTCTTTCTTGAAAGTAAGTTTTTTCCAGTATGTCCAAATGTACAAAGTGATTATATAAGGGATTTTGTCTCCTCAGTTACAAATTAGGCTCTGTTTTCACACACTCCCTAAAAAGACATCGTCGGATGCCATAGTACAGCAGGACCTGAGAGAGGACAGTGGCGAGCGTCCTGACCAGAGGCCTCCTTGACGGGCTCACCAGTAAACGCGGTGCTGACGGAACACACTCTCAGTCATCCTTGAAAATTGATCAGGTTGTGGTTTAGAAACAAATTTCAAAATAAACAATCTATGGAAAATATGCAGATTTACTCTTCCAATTAGCAAAACATAGACTTTACAGGTCACTTCAATACTGAATTTAGGCAACAAATCTCAGAGTAAAAGGACTGTTTCTTGGCTTGAACCAAAATATGTTTAAAAATAAATACACAATTCAAATATGTTCTAGGCGAGGAGTAATTATTTAAGTATTATATATATGTTTTATTTACACTCTTCACATTATTTTCTTTCAGGTACATGAGAGACCATATCATTAAGGCTAATGGTGGTTTTATCTAGGACAAAAAAAATACATGCACACCAATGAATATGTTTCAGCTTAGCAAAACACACAAAGGAGGAAAAATGATTTAACTTTTCAGTTCCAATTGTTTTCAATGTTTTATGTAACGTCAAAGTTGTACAATCTGTTCAGATTTTTATAGCATCTGAGTGAATAAAATGCAGGTATAAATCACTACTTTCTAGTTAAAGCAAACCGGCTTTTTACAAATCATATGACTTAAAAAAAAAGGAAAAAGAAAAACAAAACATGTGTTCTCCCCAGAAAATAGGCCAGTGGGCTCTTCCACCAGGTAACCCAGAGTGAGGCGGGAAAGCCCCGCCCCCAGAACTCGAGGGAGGGCTCCTCCGGTCTCCGCCGATGTTCCCGGAGGTCTCCGCCGATGTTCCCGGCGTGTCTGTTGCCGTCGCCTAGTGACACGGCGGCTCTGTGCACTCCTGAGAAACAGGACTGACTGGACTATTATACCACACACAAGCTTTGAAGGAACTATCCAATAACAACTCAGTTACTCTTTGTGGCTTATTTTTATTCTGAATCAATAAGGTAGAAGTGCAGGTCTCCACATTATGCCTTCTTCCTCAAGAACATCCACTGAAGGAAAGGGGCGAGGCAGCACGTGTTAAGGTGTAGCACTACTTCTAAAAATATTTGGAGGAGACAGATATGAATCTCAGGTTCAGATGCACTTAAGGTGATGACTCAACTATGAAGAGGTCTTTTGAATGCGCAATTGATTTTTAGCCAGTGCAGTGATTCCATTTTGATTTTTATAAAAGTAGGCTAAGTCGCAGGAATGTCTAAGAGCGGCTGAGAAACCAAGACTGCATGCTGTTTCAGCCTAAACACAACCAGGGGTGGAGCCAAACGTGAACATACACTTCAGCAGACAGGTGATAAACAGAAAGCCAAGCAGATAACATGCTGAAGAGTAAAGAATCACACATATCAGCTTATGCTGACTTGAAAAGTGTGAAGAATTCAAACATATATAAGGACAAAACCAAATGCAGTTAGGTGTGCAGATCACCCCAAAGAACCCATGGCTATTAAAGTTGCCACAAGGGCTTCTGAACTGTTAAAACCTAATGTTATCCTACTACTCTGATTTACCTCCAACTTTAATAACTGGTAGAAATTTCTCACCAAGACTTTAATTTTGGCATCAAAAATATTCATTTATAGATCAAAATCATAAAACATAGCTTCATGTTAATTGGCTAGTTTACAAGATAGGAAACACACAGTTCTTAATTCTATAAAGGCCATTTAACCTCTTATCCCAATTACTCCTCCAGGTAGGAGGGGAAGAGAAAGGGCATTTGGAATGACACTAGAATACAATATTTAGAATATAAAATACCTGGAAAGAAATATTAAAGGCCAATAAATACTCAGTCTACATGAAATACAGGAAAACAGAAGAAAATACAGGGAGTACTTTGCTATCTCATGGAGATACACGGTAGTCATGACCACTTCCTAGATCACTCTCTGGATACTTTCTTCAATTGGCCTTAACTGTATATAAAACATGTGACATAATTAGGGATGATCTGTCTTTAATTTAGGTCTGAAAGAAGCATGAATGGATTGAAACTCTAATCACAGACGACCATAGATAACTAGAGCAATTAAGAACACAAGTTCTTATCTTGAAAGCCTTTCGCACAAATAACCTGCTAACCTTTGGATCCAGGTTTCAAACTTGCAAAAATTTTGGGGTTCTTAAGGGCAAGTGAGAGCTCATTGAGGAAGGAAATAAAGTGGGAGTCCCTTTCGGATTTCTTTGACTCGAAGATGACAACGATGGTGAAGTGTGGCTCTGGGCGGGTTAGGAAGTAGGTGCTCTGGACTTTGTCATCGTAGAAGTGAACCACTTTCTCCAAGCCGTTCAGGTCGGCCGCGCGGTCTGTCATGATCATGATGACATTGGGCCAGTGCATGACGGGCCTGTCGCTGGGCAGGGACACCACAGCTGGATACTGGTCCACACCCTTAGGAGCCTCTCGGTAAGAATGGGGGTGGTGATAGCCGTGACCCTGGAAGCTCTCAGACCCTCGGTTATCAAAGATTAAGGACACGTTGGCAGCATCGTATTTCCTGATGAAGCTGGAAATCTTTCCAAACAGGTCCGGGTTGGCTTTGGCAGTCAACGTTTTCATTTCTGAAGCAGTCGTTTGTCGGCTCAGAGCCTCATGAAAGTAAAAGCTAAATTTGGCGAGAAGCATGTTTTTGAGTTTCATCAGCCAAAGGAAAAGGTGTGGGGGCTGAACAGCCTTCTGAGACTGCCCTCCGAACAGATGTTTCTTGGTCTCCCGCTGCTTTTCGAAGATCTGGCCCCAGGTCTGCAGCTTGGTGTGTGCGCTGTGCAAGTTAACCAGCGACGGCAGGAACTTCCACTCTGACACCTGAGCCTGGGCCTTCAGGAGGTGACTCAGGACATCCACTTCCAGCTGGAAACTGCTTTCCAAAGGACTGAGGATTGGGTGGTGAAATCTGAGGGGGGGGAGGGAAATTCACAGAATGTAAGTGGAAATATCACTCTATGTTGACATTTTCCACCCTCAAAAAAATGTGGTTAGACAAATAATATTACATTTGGAGGCAGGGGAAGGAAAAATGGAAGGATTCCATGTTGACTTATTTAAAATTCATTTTGACATAACTTTACCATTTCAGAATTATGTCAGTACCATATTCTCCGATGGAAATAGTCTGATGTTTAAAAAAAAATGAGAGTAGAGGCCACCTTCTTTTCAAATACATGGAAACTACCTATAATTCTTTCTTAACTCACTTTATTTATTCTGGTAAGTGTGTGACTCAAGGCATCTTTTCAGGGTGTGTTCCTAAAGATGCACAAGTAATGAAAAGGTCACTTGAGTGTGCACATAACACACTAAACTTATTTGATATTTACAGTAACTATATAAGGTATTATTAAAACTACTTGTCATTTAGGAATAGAGTAAAACCTATAACTGAAACACAGTATATAACAAAAAATGTTTATTAAAGGAATAGAACATTTACCAGAAAGCCCTTATTCAATCCCACTTCCCAAATTCTCTTTACATTTAATCACAGTTACAAATAAAATAGTAGCTAAACAAAAAAAAATTTAACAATTCATTTTCCATTTATCTTACGGCAGAATCTAAAATCCTTAAAAAGGCTTGAATAATCTGGTCCCTTCTTAGCTTGAGCCACATTCCTGTTCTTCTCACTTTCTCTAGACATTAAGTAATTAGAAATGCAAAGAAGGTCAGGATAGTAGTGTGATCTCACTTGTACTTGTTCCAGACAAAATATTTTAAAAATTTTTTGACCATGATCTACAGTTAGAGGTACACTTTATATTGTGACTTAGCACATACACACAAATAAATGCTTTAACTTATTATTTACTCTTACTATGTACAACATATTTTTGATACTTAATAATATGTATATTTTTAGTTGGATTACTACTACTCACTAAGTTAACTGTATGACACAGAATTGCTACCTGCTTTTGTATAACATGTTCTACTTCACTAACAACAATACCGAGGGGACAGGGGACAGGATGTGAGAGTGCCCTCCCTCCTGGGCAGAGGGGAGGAGGGCTAAGTGCAAAGACCCTGAGGTCTTTGTGAGAGCCTGGCCCCTTTTCATCAATACTTCTTTCTGATGCTTCAAGTCTCCTCTTCAGAGTCACCTCCTTGGAACTGTCTTCTCTAGGCTGTCTACCCCCAGAGTAGGTCAGGTCCCCCAATTATATCCTCTAGTTTCTTAATACCTATCTTCCTCTTTAGTAGCTTAATCATGTAATGTGCTAGACAAACTGGGGCATCTGGTTACCTGAAGGGAAGTAAACCCTGTCTGCTTCTTTCACTCTTTTATCTCTACAACACCTGGCACACAGTAGAAATTTGGTATATGTGCTAACTGTGCTAAGATTTAAATCCTAGTTTCTGCCTCATTGGTTCTGCCTGTTGCTTACGATCTAAATGAAATTCTGTAACAACGGGGGAGGAACGGCTGAGGAGGTTCCTCTCTTGTCTGGAGCACTCACAGCTTTCTTGCTCAGTCTTTTCTTCTGAGAAATGCCCAGGGAAGTTCAGTGTCTGCCTAGTCAGGAGCACCCTCCTTCTCAAGGAGCCTGCATCAAGCCCTTACACTTTCCCATAAAGATCCAAAGCCTCTGTAACAGCTGCAGGAATCATCTTAGCAAGCGAGCCCAATTCATAATTTCCCTTTCTGATAGTTCATTATTGGCATATAAAAATGCAACTGATTTCTGAATGTTAATTTTGTATCCTGCTACTTTACTGAATCCATTTATCAGTTCTAGTAGTTTCTTGGTGGAATCTTTAGGGTTGTCTGTGTACACTATCATGTCAGTAAGTGACCCCATTTCAAAGGTGTGGGCAGGATCCAGTGTTTCCTGAGTGTATCTTATGCCTCAGACAACACAGGAGATGATTTACAGTCCTGAGCCCATGTAATGTGATTGCTTCACTGTCAAGGACAAAAGCTTCTCATACAGCTCAGTTTGGGGCCCCAGGGAAAGGGAAAATGCTAGTTATAAATTTAACAGTTAGGAAAAAATGTCACAAGTATATCTAGTATATATTATGATATACCTAGTATATCTTACAAATGTATTTAAACACTAATTAAAGGGATTATGATGAAGGGAGCCCATACTCCCACTTTATTTCTTTCCTCAATGAGCTAGGTTAGACATAAGATAGGAACTGATTATCACATGATCAACAGGATGTATTATTTACATGATGACAACAACAGACTGCTTTTTTCTATTACTAAAAACTGGGTGGAGGGGCTAGCGTAGTAACCTACTCAAAGAATCAGAAAAATAAAACAGACCTCAAATCCTCTAGCGCATATGCTTAATTAAGTAATTTGGGCTATTCAAACATGACATGCTTCTGAATAAACATTTAGAAATTCTGACACACACACACAATAGCATGTCTCAAAATCTTTGAACTGTAAGAAATGCTCCTACTCCCTTGGCCCAAAGGCTGAGACCCCTTAACACATAATGAGCATTAAGTATCACAATATTCTATAGCCATGGATATCAGGCGGTGTAAACACAGTAAAACTGTTAATAACAGAAAATGGCATGTGATTGGATATAATTCTACCACTAATAACAACATTCTAAGTTATTTTTCTATTTCCAGTTGGAAATCATCATTTATACCCAACGTTCTCCTTGAAAGAACATGAATTCTCTGTACGAACCTTCAGAGCTTGTACAGAATTCTGAACAAGCTCTTCCAACAATATATACTAAATGTGCTTACATGCTAAATGTGGGGATGAAAGTGAATGTCACCGCTATTTTTCATTCTTAAGTAAAGCTAAAAATACATGTTAAAATTACTCTGCCAAGACTTTGAGATCAGTATTATGATGTATCATTTCCACTCCACTGTGTGCCTCATACCCATTCTATTCACAACTCACACTATAGGGGGATCTGTTAAATTGCTGTAACCCAAATATATACACTTCAGCTATGGCGACATGCTTGAATGAGTCTGGATACAGAATGAATTGACAAGTATTTACAGAGAACATCTGCTTTTTAAAAAGGCAAAATAAATAAACAAAAATAAAAAGCAAGAGTGCACATATACAAACATACTCCTTCCTTTATAAATCCCTATGAAAAGAGTTGCTTCCAAAAGAAGTATGCAGGTCCCATGTGAGAAATCAGAAGCCCAATTAAAAATAAATCTGTAACAACAATGTGAATGTTCTAAAGTACCACAAAACTGTACCTTTAAAAATGGTTAAAAGAGTAAATTTTATGCTATGTAAATTTTACCACAATAAAAATATCCGTAATATCCTCTTTTAAAACTATTTAGTTTACTTGTTTTTAGATACGAATGCACTGTAAAGATGAATTAGCCAAAAGTTTGCCCTGTAAGACCTCCCATGCTAGAGGGAGGTATTTATCATGGAAACAAATAGAAAGTAACACATCTCTAACGACAGGTAAAATCAAATAACAGTTTAAAAGAAGGAGCAATTCCTACTATGCAAGCCATAGAGGAGAGTATTTGAACTGAGCCATAAAGCTTAAGGAGCACATAGGATCAGTTTTTTAAAAGGGGAGGGTGTGCGGAGGTAGGATTTAGCTATGTGAAGATGAAGGCTTACATTTCTGGTCCCAACTGATAATCACCCCTGATTCAACACCCTTTGCCACGTGTCTCTGTGTTGGGAACCGCCCTGACTGGTATCAGAGGCTGAAACCCCCGCCTAGCTAAGGCTAAGGGAACACCCTTGGAACTGTAAGCCAGCAAGGAGACAAAAGCTTATCTTCCTGGCAGGAATGCTGCTTCTGCTGCTTTATTCATAACTGAATCCCAAAAAGCTTGGTCGGTTAGCCAAAGACGGGTAAGATTCCCCACGGGGGAACGACCTAAGCCAGGCACGATCACTTTGGGAGGCCCCCCCAAAGAAGGACTTGGGGGGGCTGCAGCAAAAGGGGGTGATGGACCCTCACTCCTTGGCTTTGACATAGCCTGAGTTCTCAGCGTCTGGAAGAAAATCTCCTTATCTCTTGGTTACTTAGTTCCCTTGCTCCACCTAAGCCTGAAACAATGACAGGGTGGTACAGCTCGGTACTGAGAAGTGCGGATTTCCCGGGGTGATCAGGCCTAAGAAAGAACATGTAAATTACTGTGAAACCTTCTTTGTTTAGAATGCTCTCAGTTGAATGAGAAGGGTCTTAGGAGGAAGTTAGTTTGTTCCTCAGTCTTACAGCTCTTTGACCCCCCAACTCAATAGACCGGCAGAGTTCTTTGTTTTCTATAGTTCCTTACTTCCCCTAATGAGTACTGTACTTTACCTGAATTATTATGCAGCATGAGCCTAATAAGAGCAGGTATGGACGGTAAAGCAGCGCGCTCCCCACTAGGGGGGGTGGCCATTTCGTCCCTACTTCCCCACAGAAACTAGTTTGTCTCTGTGCATGTGTTGTTTTTTCTCGCGTGTGTTTCGGCGAGCCATCCGCAGCGTTCCGTGGTCACTGCTGGCCGGTGACCCACGCGCAACATCTCTGGAGCTGCTCCCACCTGAGGAGTGGTATATTTTCCCACCCTGGACTATGGATGGACCGGGCCATGTGATTTGCTTTGACCAAAGGGATGTCAACAGATCTGATGCAAGCAAAGCTTAAAATGAGCCTGGCTGGGCTTGGTCTTTTGCACTTTGGCCATGGCCACTGAATAGCTGCTTTCCCTCTAACCTTGGGCTCAGAATGAGCACTTGTGGGGCAGAATAAGCCCAAAGCTCACAGTAATAAGCCAAGCCTAGTGAAACCAACAGTGTTAAGCTACCCAGATAAGATTAGCCCAGGTAAGCAACACTCAAAACAGACCTGCAAGCCTGTAAGTGTGAATTTTGGGTTGGTGGTTATACAGAATGATTGTGGTAATAGCTAAATGATACATGATAGGACAATG